AATAATAATAATAATAATAATAATAATAATAATAATAATAATAATAACAATAACAACAATAACAACAATAACAACAATAACAATAACAATACATCAATACTCAACACAGTTCAATTGTTCAGCAATGACATCAGAATGAACTTTGGACTTGAACAATGTGCTATACTATCCATGCAGCGAAGAAAAATGGAAAAAATAGAAGGAAAAGAACTGGTAAATAGAAGCACTAGGCATACTGGAAGCAGAGGAGCCTTGGTGGCGCAGTGGTTAGAATGCAGTAATTGCAGGTTACTTCTACTTACAGCCGGCTGCCTGCAATTTGGCAGATCAAATCTCACCAGGCCAGTGGTGGTATTCAGCTGGTTCACACCGGTTCAAGCAAAGTTCTGGCTGGCCACGCCCCCAACCCGGTCACCCAGTCACTGCTGGCTCACTTGCCCCACCCGCCTGATGCTCCCTCACCCTGCCCGCCTGACACTCGCCCCTTAAGGTATTTTGTTTTTCCCCCTCCTGACAATCAGCTGTTCATATGATCAGCTATGCTAGTATCCCCCCAGCTTGTCTTACTGCTTCGCCCAGGAGGATTCCCTGAGGCCCAGGAAGCCAAAAAAGGGAGGGAGAGGCACAGCCCCCCCTCCATTTTTTGCCTTCCTGAGCCTCAGGGGAGCCTTCTGGGAGCAAAAACGTCCCCCCAGGAGGCTCCCTTGAGGTCCAGAAGGCCCCAAAATGGAGCGAGGGGGGGTGCTGTGCGCCCCCTCCAGGCTCCATTTTCTTTCTTCCTGAGCCCCAGAGGAGCTTCCTGGGAGCAAAAACACCTCCCCAGGAGGCTTGTCTGAGGCCCAGAAGGCCCAAAAAACAGGGGGGTGAATGCAAAAAAGCAAAAAAAAAAAAAAAAGCCATATCCACCCAGTCACATGCCCATGTAGCCACACTCACAGAACCAGTAGTAAAATGTTTTGAATTCTACCACTGCACCAGGCTCAGGGTTGACTCAGCCTTCCATCATTCCAAGGTGGGTAAAATGAGGACCCAGATTGTGGCGGCAATATGCTGATCATGTAAAACGCTTAGAGAGGACTCTAAAGTACTATAAAGCAGTGTATAAGTCTAAGTGCTATTGCTATTGCTATAATATATTGAATTGAAAAGTCAAAGCGTTAACACGAAAGGAATACATCAGGAGGGTCCACAAAATATTAAAATCAAATCTGAATGTTGGAAACATAATTAAAGCCATTAATACATGGGCAGTCCCATGTATTATGCTACTTAGCTGGAATCATCAACTGGACTGTGGCTGAACTGGAAAACCTGAACCAGAAAATGCATACACTTTTGAATATGTACCGTGCTTTACATCCACAAAGTGACATCAACAGGTTATACCTGCCAAGAAGAATAGGGGGCAGAGGGCTATTGCAAATCCATCAAACTAGAAGAAGAAAAGTTTGAAAGATTATGTGAACCAAAGTGCAGAAAAATTGCTGCAGGTTGTGACAATGGAGAACATTATAAAAACAATAGAAACAAAGGCAGAATATAAGGAAAAATAGCTGGATGACAGATTAAATGGATGGAAAACCAAAGCTTTTCATGGACAGTACTTTAAACACATTGAAGGAAAATGTGATAACATGGCCATGGCTTCAGAGAGGAACCATCAACAAAGAAAAGGAAGGTTTAATATTTGCTGTTCAAAAATAAGCACTATAAACTAATGCCATGAAAGCGAAGATACAAAAATCCACTGACAATCCAAACTGCCGACTTTGCAATGACAAAGTTGAAACTGTTTCATACTTAATATGTGAGTGCAGCAAACTTGCGCAAACTGACGACAAAGCTAGACATAGTTGCTAAATTAATCCACTGGTCATTACGTAAAAAATATGCCCTACTTGTATCCAAAAAGTCATGGGAACATAAAATGGAAAAAGTTGTCGAAAATGAGACAGTGAAGATCTTGTGGGGCTTTTGAATACAGACAGATCACAATTTGAAACACAATACACCAGATATTATGGTTGTCAAGGGCCAAAGCATACAATTTATTGATATCGCTGTACCAGGAGACACCAGAGTCAAAGAAAAAGAACTGGAAAAATCATGAAATATTGCTACCTGGCCATCAAAACTACACAGTTATGGATGAAACATGTAACAGTGATACCCATTGTCATCGGGGCACTTGGTACCACGTCCAAGAATTTTACAAAACACATGAAGAAATTGCAGCTTCCTGCAATAACACCAGCGGAACTGCAAAAAAACTATACTACTTGGAACATCGTATATTTTAAGAAGATACTTGGTTGATACCTAGGACGCTGGCAGCAACCTGTATCAACCATTAGCTGGTATTTGTGATACATTTTTAAATGTTCAGTTGACTGAGTTTCATGTTTAATGAATAAAAGAGATAATAATAATAAACCCCACGATTTGGGCTGTTGCTTCTTATCTTTCTATCTTCTTATCTTATTTGCCTTCAGGGCAAATTGAGTGTTCTCAAGCTTTAACACAAGCAGTCGCCCTTCAGTAACCCCATAATGGACCTGCAGGTGATATCCATGGTGGCACAGTGGTTAGAATGCAGTATTGCAGGCTAATTCTGCCCACTGCCAGCAGTTTGATCCTGACTGGCTCAAGGTTGACTCATCCTTCCATCCTTCCGAGGTCAGTAAAATAAAAATCTGGATTGTTGGGAACAATATGCTGACTCTGTAAACTGCTTAGAGAAGGCTGTAAAGCACCATGAAGCAGTATATAAGTCTAAGTGCTATTGCTACCATTATGTCACCATCACTTTCCTACAACTGAGGATATATGCAGAAAATATAGCATTCTTGCAGTATTATGAAATTTCTTTAAGCACAGATTAATCAGTTCTTTCTAAATGTTTGGTGCAGATTTGATCACATTCTTTGATAGATGATGGCTCTAGGAAAAGTGGCAGAGTTCTTCTCTTCCCTGTTTTTACTAGAGAAAAGGATCAGAGCTAATATACCTACTCTTTAGTCTGATAAACTCACTCATAATGAGGAGATTTGAGATATTCTTATTAATATCCTTACTGAACATGCAGCAGCCAGGATGATTTGTTTTAGAAAGCATCCAGAAACCCTGAATATTCTTACTAATATCCAGCTGTTTTGAAGGCAGCAGCAAAACTGTTATTTTTAGTCTTAGCTTATAGAAATCATTTGGTCTCTTTAATAATATCTTAACTTTACACAGTTACTTTCTTTCATATACGTATGTACTCTCTCTATATAATTACCTATGCAGGTATTAATTATATGTAGTATTTTTAAACAGTTTGACTTGGACTTGGACTGTAAACCAATGAATCAAGGTTTATTTTGCAATAACTCCGAGATTCTACGGCTGCTTGTGCTTCTGGTTATAATTATCCTGTTTCTGTATACAGATCAGTCCTTCTGCTCTTCCATAGAATAAGGATAATTAGAGGCATATCTGTCATGATTTAACTACTTTTCAGTATAAAGAGCCATTAAGCCTTCACTTCTTATAGTTCATCTGTTAGGAGATCTTGTTCAACTCAACCTTTTCCTGACATAGATGGACAGTTATAGGAAATGCTTTATATGTCACTTTTATATATTCTGGTCCAGAACACAGCCAATAAAATGCAAAGAAAAGGGACGTTGCTCCCTCATTCTCCAACAAATTGCTCTTGTGCCAGTACCAGTGCTCCATGAGTGTGCAACAGAAGGGAGGAAATAGCAGATGATAAGGCAGATCCTTTCTGTTTGACTAAAGTGGACGTTTCAACCAGGGATGAAGAGTACCAGGATAGGGAATGTCCCCCAAATATTATGATTTTATGGATTTTTACAAATAGTAATGTAAATGCAGCACTAAATTTGAACTTTCAAAATACATCTTCTGCTTCCTGTACTTGCAATCCCTAGTCCTCCTGACTTTAGATGAATGTTTTAAAGATATTTTACCTACTTTAATAGCCTTTTCTCCACAAAATATATAAAAAACAGTATTTTCCTTGGGATGCTTTCATTTTAATAGTGTGTTTTCTCTAACAGCAATATCATATAGGGGACTTTACAGTGCATCAGCACTTTATACCCATAGTCACAAACTAGTTGCGATTGAGTAGCTAAGCAGTTTTATTTCTAACTCAATCAAAAATCAGAAGAAGTCTAGTCCCGGCTTGCAGTATTATAGGTTCTGCAGAGCTCAGAGGAAAGAAGTTTTCTTACATGCAGGAAACCATGGTCCCAGTGATGCCCCCACTCTGATCTCCTCCAGCACTTCATTGATCTTTAGAGTGGCACAGGTCTTTAATGACGCAGCAAACAGGAGCTGGATGTCGTGTCATTTTGTCATTCCTCATGTTCATACCAGTAGCAGCCAGGATGATTTGTTTTAGAAAGCATCCAGAAACCCTGAATGAAGCATAAAAGGGAGCAAAGGCTGTTTTCTTGTTTTGAGATTCTCAGTGTTCTGAGGTTGGATGAAATTAGAACTCTTGCAGCTCTCCCTTATTATTTCTCCAGGACCGAGGGTAAAATTGATAGTGGTGTGAAATAGTCATTGATCTACCATAGTAATAGTGATCGCTTTCCTCTCTTAAAAATATTGACAAGCTGTGCACACAGTGATGCTGAAACAAAGCAAAACAAATGAATATGGTATGCAACAAAAAAATTCACCTTCCAAGAAGACTACATGTCCAGTCTTTATATTATCTATAAAAATATTGTAAATATATAGCCAATGCTTTCTGAACCTGTGGGAGAGAGAAGGATATCTTAATGGGATTTCTCATTTAATTGAGATTAACAATGGGAAGAGCAAAATGTGAGCTCCTTGCCTCTCCGCAAAATGAGAGAGAAAAAGGGAGAGAAAGAGAATGATTTTGTTAAGATGGTCAGTTGGCACAGTTTACACGGATGTAGAATTCAGTGTTCTTTAAGCAAAACAAAAATGGCTTCATTAAAAAATGTTAGCAATGTATTAGTATTTTGAAATGTATATTATATAACATAATATAGGCTTCATAAAGTGGTCTAATTTTGCAACTTTATTGGAGAAAAGAAGAAGAAAGCCAATGTAAAAAAGAATTAATTGGATTGAGTGGTTGGTCATATTTGATCACAGAACTTTCATTTCTTGAGAAAAGCTACTCTGAACTCTCTAGTGCATAAAATGAAAAGCAGTTTGCTTTGAAAGAGCAGGGAAAATGCAACAGTGAGTAGCCAAAGTTTATGATTAAACATTTGGATCTCCAAAATGTTGTTAAACTGCTGCTCTCATCAGATACTGTTGAATTCCAGCATGGTCAATAGTGATGAATGCTGGGAATTATAATTTCAATACCTTCTAGAAAGAAGAGAACCAAACTCTATTCTGATGAACACTGGTTTCTCTAGTATAGCACTAAACCTATGTTCAAAATCAGCTAGAATAGCAGCTGACCAGTGGAAGTAGGTTGTGTATTATGAAACGGCAGAGGGACACCCCGGATCCCATATCTAAGAGCTGTTTTTAGGTTGTCTGCTATTTGTCTTCAACAGTCCCATCCTTGGTGAAGGGTTTCTCCGCTTGGTGACATTCAGAAAGTGGGGAGATGAGAGCTTTTAATGAGGACACTGTCCTCTAACTGCAAGACAGAGCAGATTCAACTGAGATTAACAATGGGAAGAGCAAAAATGTGCTGTGTTACTTTTCTGTTGGCTCATTAAATGCAGGCAAGCCTTTCAACAGAATTGTGAGAAAGTGCTCCTAGAATATATATATATATATATATATATACAGATGAAAACAGAGTCAGGAAAGTGTGACATGAGCCATGTATCCATTGGCTTCAATTTCTTTTCCATAGAGAAAATAATCAGAATGTAGAATGAAAATAAAATGACCAGCCTTTCCTCTGCACTGCTCAGGAAGAGGCGTTAATGAATAATTCAATACTTTTGTGGGTCAATGAGTATAAAAAGCCCTCCTTTGACCTGTTATGGCTATGTTAGAATACAACCAGGGATGGATTCCACTGGTATAACAATCAGTTCGGTTACACGTGCGCGCTCCGCATTTAGAAAAGCTTTAATACTTTAATACACAGCAGTCCCTGTGAAAAAAACAGCTGAGGTGCGGCAAACTGCTCTGCCACGTGAATCAGCTGTGCTCTAAACAAAGGAAATAAAGCACAGGAAAGAGCAGGGGCAGGCGGGTGGTCCCACATGCTCGTCGCAGCAAACTGGTTCATTGACAGCTGGTCTTCAGAGCAAAGGATTCACGTGAACTGGTCCAAACCAGTAGAATCCCACTCCTGAATACAACCCCTATCTTCCAACAAGCATGTCTGTTGTGCAGCAGGAGCTTAAATTGTGTAGTTGCAAGGTTCACAACATTATGTTGGGGTGGATGAGTGGATTTCTCAATAATTGACCCATGTAGTAGCCAATGTATGATTCTAGCTGGAACACAAAAATATATTTTTCATTTTAAGATGAAAATTTGGGGAACATATTGGTTGACTGTTTTTTTCAAAAAGAATATTCTGTATTTCCTAATTCAGATCTTGATTTTGTTTTGAAACCAATACCAAAGCAATAAAGGACATTGTGTGTAGTCTCAATATTATTCTCTTTCACCAAGAAGAAGAATGTGTGTTCTTGCAATCATACATAGAGGTGTCACTTCAAAATCCAGCTTTGCCCAATGAAAGGCTACAATGTTTAGATGCTGTAATGTAAGATAAAATATAAGCAGTTAAAATTAAGCATTTTTACTATAGAAGTACTATAGAAAATTACAGTGAAACATTAAAAATGAAGAAAAAACAAAATTGATTATATTATCTACGCGAGGGTCACTATGGAAATGTCTCTCTGGGGAGGAAAATAAGCTGTAGTAATTTCTATCAGGTACAGTGAATGACAATTATAAGTGAATTTTAAATTCCAATGGAAGGGGGCCATAATTCATTACCAAACCTATTCAAAATTGAATTCATGGGAATTCATATCTAATTAATGTAATCTCTTGTAGAAACTTGATCTTCATCATCTGCAATCTTTACTTCACTTTGTAGATTGTACTGTACGTCCTCTAAATTATTTTACTCACAACACTCATAATTTCCATTTCATCATTTCCATAACACATCTAAGGGCAACAGAGTACTTGTATCTGCTCTTGAATTTCTGCTTCAGGTCAATTTCTCTGTCTCTTGAAAACTTGTTCGGTGCCATTTGTATTCTCAGTGTTTGGCAGAGTGGTCACAACCTCTGGCAGGCTGTGGTATGGAGCTTTCCCACCACAAAAGAAATGATTGCAACTTGATGAAAGCTCTTGCTACTGATATTTTCTGAAGGGAGTCTTGCCTTCAATGAAAGGGAAAGACTGTTGCATTCTGAACAACTCATTTGCAGTTGAAGGACAACTTCACAAGGCAAACCTTCTTGGCCTTTCTAAGAAGAGGATTTAGAGGCTTCTTTTCCTGATTTTGAGTGAAATATTTTGGACTTTTAAATCTAGCGCCTTACATCTGTTTTGTGATGTCTTATCATAGATATGTTACAGTATACTACAGTATACTAATTTAATTTAGTGTTATATCTACAGCAGAATGGGACAACTTGCCTCAGGCAACTCACCATGGTCAACTCGCCATGGCTAATTTGCCATAGGACAACTCGCTGTGGGACAATTCAATAATTCAGTTTAATTATTTAAAATAATTTTTAAAATATTTTAATTTTTGCCATTCAGATTTCATTTTGTCCTCCTTTGGCATCCTTTAAAGATTCTATTCAAGTATTCCTTTGATATTAGGTACTCTTGTCCCATGGCATGTTGGCCATGGTGAGTTGGCTGTTGCAAGTTGGCTGCAATGAATTGTCATAGGCTTTATCTACAGTTAATCTTTGATTTATGACCACAATTGGGACCAGAATTTCATTTGCTAAATAAGGCAGTTGTTAAGTGAGTCACACCCAATATTATGACCTTTTTGCCACAGTGGTTAAGTGAATCACTGAACATTTTAAGTGAAACACATGATTGTTAAGTAAATCTGGCTTCTCTCATTGACTTTGCTTGTTGAAAGCCAGTTGGGAAGCTTGCAAATGGCATTCACATGTTCCTGCAACGCTGTACATATATATTGGTTGCCAAGCATCTGAATTTTGACCACGTGACTATTGGGATGCTGCAATGTCATAACTGTGAGGACCGGTTGTATGTCCCTTTTTGTCAGTGTTGTTGTAACTTCAAGTAGTATTAAAAGAATTATTGTAAATTAGGACTATCTGTATTATTAAGCTGCTTGTTCACTTTGATTAAAATAAATATGGCATAAACATTAACAGAAATCAAATCCAAGTCCTGTTTCAGTGGAGCAGAAACCACAAACACCTACCCATAAACAACCTTAAGATTTAATATGAGACAGAAGGGACATCCCAAAATACAGATTTACATAGATTATTCAGTCTTTGTTTCTAAAACATAACTGTGCTTGTGAGACCATCCAAAACATATTTTTGTCTATTTTCAGATTGTCCTTGTAGGCAGATAGATCCAAAACATATTTTCCTCTATTATCAGATTGTCCTTGCAGGCAGATAGATCTTTTCAGACCTGACCTGAAAGCTTTTAGAAGGGTTCGTTTGACCCATTCTGCCCTATGTATATGAGGTTTGATATGGCTGGTCTCCTGATAGTTTCTCCTCTGCCCAGAGTTGGATGGTAGGGCACAATCTAAATCTCTGCCTGAACCTTTCAAGTAAAGACCAGTTGTTGGCTAATTAAACCTTGCACAGTTCTGAGGTCATGACTACTGCTATCTAATTCACACAGGAAAATACTCTCTGTGTGTTGTCACTGGGATCCAGTCAAGTTACTCAGCTGCCATGATATCTATTTCCTCTTGGCATGTTTCCTGGAAACAATTACCCAGAAGTGCTTGAGAACTTATGCTGTCTGGCAGGAAAGGCTTGGGGATAATCTCTGGCTTCCTGCTTAGAAGGGTGCTTTGTGCTTTCAAGATGAAACAGGTGGTAGGGAGCCAGGTTGCTTTGAGATGGGAATGCAAGAATCCCATAGATTGTCACCTCAGTATCTCTAATCTAAAAGATCAGAAGAGCAATCAAGCTATTAGTATCTCTAATCTAAAAGATCAGAAGAGCGAGGAAGCTATTAAAAGAGACTGTCCAATCCTTTATATTGGAGTTTTCCAAGGAAAGGCAAAGTAGCTGCTAAGTGAAGTTGAATTATGCACTAAAGAAAATGCATTGACTGTGTTTTTCTCCTAGATTCCTTATGATTCCTTTGGATTGTTAATTAAAACATATTCTATCAATATCATACTTAGGACTTTTTCCCCAAGTGCAGCTGAGCACACTGTTGTGTATTTAATTTCATGGCAGGCAGGTGAGTTCTCCTGGGGTGCAGCTGGAACAAGCACCAAGTATGTATTACAAGAATGTAACCAGAGTGTGCAGCTACCTGGCAGAGTCACACTAATGGGTTGTTCTTGGCATACAAACATGGTAGCAGATGTGAAACGGGGCGGGGGGGGGAATCTGTGGGATTTACAGCAAAAGTCTAAGTATCCTTTCCAGTAAAATGTTTGGAAACTCTAACATCCTTCAAGAGGGCAACTTAACTGCTAATTTCAGCATCTCTCAAAATTCTCAAATTGCAGATCAAAGAAGGTGTGGTATCATGTTACAGCAAGCAAACTAATCTGAGAAGAGGCTTGGTTTCAAATCTGCCTAATGCTGCATAGTGCGATCTTTAGGCAGACCAGGATCAGGAAGAGCAGCTCATCACATAAAGTTATATTCCAAATATCACAACATTAGGACAGCTTGTGTTCCAAGACAGTCTCCTGGCACTGCTGGGAAAATTGCAGGGAAGGCATGCAAGCAGTTAGTCCTTCTTTTCTTGCCTACCTCTTCTAGCTGATATTCAGAGTATGCTATTGATGCTTCCAGACAGACAGCTCTTAGTGCTACCAATCAAAAGACTTCCTGCAGCTATTTTGTTTTCCTCTCCTTGTTGTTTTTATTAGAAAAAAGGTGCAACAAAACCCAATGGGAAAATGGCCATGTGTGTGTTACAAAAGTGGCATAATAATATAATGTTCTGGACTCCTGTGACATATTTTATGAATGAAGCAGGACAATTGGATAAGAAAAACTTTATCTAGAAGTATCCAGGTTCTGAACTTTAAAGTTCCATTGTCAATACTTCTGGGATTGCAAAGGATTGCAAAGGATCAGCTATCAGAAAGATACTAAGAAGTGTATATATGTGTAGGGAGGAGGGAGGGAAACAAGAATGAGATGGTATTGCTGCAGCAGCTATCAGATTTTTCTGTTTTTATTTGGCACATTATTCCCTTGAGAAAAGGTATCAGGGATGAAAGGAAGGGCATTAAGCAGGAGGGGTCAATATGGCTATCCCATGTAATGAGGCCAGTATTGGGGAACATACGGAGTGTAGGTCAAGTGAACATCACCATTGATTAGAAGCAGGTTAGCTACACTGTCCATAGGAAGCCAGATTATTGCAACTGGCAAGGAAACAGGATGAAAATAAAGGAGAAATTGCAACCTCTTTGTGAATGGTAGGAAGAAAATGAGAGGAGCCTTTCACAGCAGTTTCAGTGCCCAACCCTGGATAATTAAATCCTAACAATTAATGACCCTGATATGTGCTTACCTCTAGAATGTGTGATACCATTAAAATAAGGCAGGTGCTTCGGACAATAGCACCTTTGACTTGGTACAAGATTGTTGGATGGCTATTGGAGAAGTCAACTGCCACATTAACCAGTACCACAGAAATCGAAGAAAGAGAGGGACAGGGGTCTACACTAGAAAACTGTATTTATCTGAATTCCTTCTTGGCATCTCTCATTCTGTTCACAAAACTACCTTTCCATTTCCTGACCTCAGTAGGGACATGTTTACACTCTCCAACAACAGTAGTTTATTGCAGCAATAACTTCACTTCTATAGTGTCGGCTTTGCAAGTTCAGGAGAAATTAAGTACACAAATGGGAAGTTTAATCACTGAAGTTATTGCTGAAGTAAATTTAGCTGTTACTCTGGAGTCAAAGGTCTTCTTCCTTGCATTTACGAATGGAGAACACATTCACACATTGCACAAATTGCAGACTATTGAAGAGATAATGTAAAGTATTTTGATTGTTTACTGCTTTCCTTTTTTTCTTCAAGAGAGAGAGAGAGACAGAGAAAGAGATTATCTCTCCTTTCCCTTTCATAAAATACGATAAAACATACATTTGATTAAGATGTGTGCAGCAGTATACACAATGAAATGGAATGTTCCATTCCAATTTATTTTTAAATTGCAAAATCAAATGCTTTTTAAAAAGCCAATCATTTTAAACAAATACATAAGTAAATTTCTAAATATATATATTTCCAAATATATACCGTATTTAACAACAACTTCCAACTATGTATTTGGAAACAATATATATTGTTATATATTTGGACACAATATACTGTTTGCCAAACCAAACAGGTTCCAAATATACTGTATATTTAAGAACAATGGCATCTGCATCACTTTTCCTGGATGGAAATTTTGTAATTTCCCATGAAATCAGCCACATATGAGAGAAGCAAGTGATTAAAAGGGACAGAAGAGTGTGATATGTTTCATGGTAAGGAGAGAGAAAAAGAGATAATTTAGGCACACTTTTCATATCCCAAATGATATTAGCCAGTTAAATGCTTGCACTCTAATGTAATGGCTCCAGGAATCAAATGAAAAAGTGAAACAGGGACATGGGGAGTCAGTTGAAACTTGATTCCTAAACTTCTTTCTTTGAAAGGCATTTTTCCAACTGACAGAGATGGAGCTACCTTCCGAGAAAGATGTGCTTAGGATGGTGGCTTTAGAAGGGAACATAGAGAATATCAAGCCCATGCCATTGTTAGAAACACCCATAAAAATAATACAAAAGTAAACAGTATCAAGGAAAGCAAGGACTAAAGAGGTTTTCAAACTAGGCTTTCTTGAAAGCCCTGCAAGAATCGTGTTTCACTCTTTTTCAACTTTTTAAGGGCTTACTAGCCAAAATTTCCAGACACAGAGCAAAAGGCTTTATTGCCATTCCTGTCATGCTGCTTTCACTTGTCACTTTCTTTTTCCCAGTCTACAGGTTCCTTCACAGTTTCTTGCATGTAGTCAGCAGGAAAGGGGAAAAGATAACCTGTTCAGTGTTTTGAGTAGGACATTTGCAGTAGCACTGTCTTGTGGCCTCCTCTTAGGTAAGCTATTCCAAAGATTGATGTGCCATAACTTATTTCCAAAGTTCACAGAGCCTGCAATCATCTGTTGGCTGTCTCATGGAATTGAATGGCTGGCATGAAAGTAAGGCCTTTGATTGTTGCAGTTTCTTTTCCTCTCCAGGGTTACAGGAGTAGCCCCACCCACTCCTAAGGCTAGCTGCAGAGTTTTCCAGTCTCATATTCCACTGGGTTTGGCAGCTTGGCATTGAAGGCCTGCAGGGTAGACTGGATCCGACTTACTTCATTGTTGGCCAGCTTGAGCCTATGCCGAAGCAAGCAAGAGAAAAGATCAATGCGGCTTTTCCCGGGTGGAGAGAGACGGTTCACTCGGTCCCTGATCTCAATCAGTTGCAATATAGCAGAGTCCTGCGAGCCTTGTGTATAGGGGTAATCTAGCTGAAGGACAAGGTCCCGAATTGCATCAGACTCAAATGGCAGGCTGTAGCCAAAGACCTGCAAGCTATTGATTCTCATGTACCCCAAGTTCTTAGAAGGATCCGTTTCCAAAGGCTCATAAAAGATGGTTTCATTAGAGCTGTCATTAAGAGATTTGATGCGGCTCCGCAAATAGACATGGACTGTTTCAAAAAAAGTCTTCCACTTGCTACCTAAAGTGAGAGTCCAGTTTTGGCATTGGCCAGAGGCATCTACATTAGTCCTTTCCCAGTCAGGGAAGCCAGTCTCATTGGTAGGCATAAACCAGCTCTCGGAATGGCTGCCCCCAAAGGGGTTGACGTAGATGGCCATGACTGGTTCCAAGGTGCTATTCTTGGTGAGGCAGATCTGGAGGGAGAGGGCCAGCATGAGGTGGATCAAATTTGGCTTGTACTTGTTGCTTTTCAGTGTTACCAGCATCCTCTTCCTCCAGGAAGGGTCAAACCAAGTCCCCAGGCGCATATCATTGCTAATGAAGATTGACCGTACTTCAATGCGGCTGTCCCGTTTTTGCAGAAGATATTTGAGCTCCAAGTCCTGCAGGTCTGTTTCTAGCCCCAAGTAATGCTCAAGGGAGTCTGCCACCTCTGGGCGACACAACCCTAAAGTGAGGATGTAGCCAGGGTTGCAGGATCCACACTGGGTGATGTTATCCTCTGCACAGGCAGCACATTCTGACCCTTCTCCTACAGCGCAAGGGATGGTGACCTGACAAGAGGGCTGATCATTCGGGCAGATGCAGCCACGGCTTTCTTCAAAAAATGTCCCCAGCACAGAGGCCTCATTGCAGTAAAGGTGGGACTGAACGTGGCTCCACCAGTAGGTCAAAGGCCTAGAGGAATAAGGTAAACAGAGAGAAATGTGAGATCTGGAAATATACTTCAGAAACGCACCATTTGATTCAGCCAGATTTTATGCTTCACCAACTCACTCCCCAAAGAAAAAGGAAATGTTTTTCCCCCCTAAAGGAAAATCTTATATTGCAGTATCCTTCATGGAATTCTAATTATTCATTCAAGTTGAAACAAAAATAAATGAGCAATATCTGAAATCTGACTAAATGCTCACTGGCTTTTTTACGTTTATAACACTCTAATTGTTTTACATTGTTATTTTATGATGCCCAGAGTCATTTGATAGTGAGGTGGGTGGCATATAGATTTGATAAAGGAATGGGGAAATTGCAGACCAGAAGTTTCAGTCCATAAGCTAAATAGAAATATTTTCCGTTGCGTTTCAAGGGATGGGCAAATGCAATCCAACAAATATAAGGTGAGAATTCAAAGCCAGAGGAACTGGGAGCCTTCAGGCAGTAGAAGATTCAGACCACTCCCATATTCATATTCAGGGAAGGGCAGGGGTGGGTTTCTATCGGTTCGCACCGGTTCTACAGAACCAGTTGTTAACGTCACCGGTAGTTCTAAGAACCGGTAAAACCGACCCCTGCTTGGCCCTGCCCCTCTCCGCCGCTCCTATGGGCCAAAAACCAGGTTGTTTTTTTTACTGTGCACGTGCGAAAATCCCTTCCGCATTCTCGCCTGCCCCTCCTTTCACTGCCCCCGCCCCTATACGCTGCTCCAAAGTAAAAAAAACTATTGTTTAAAAAATGGTTTTTTTTTACTGCGCACGTGCGAAAATCCCTTCCACATTCTCCCCCGCCTCTATCCGCTGCTCCAAAGTAGAAAAAACTATATAAAAAGGTTTTTTTTACTGCGCATGCGCGAAAATCCCTTCCGCATTCTCCCTCGCCCACCTCTCCCTTTGCTGCCCCAGCCCCCGCCCCTATCCGCCACTCCAAAGTTTAAAAAACTCATTAAAAAAAACTGGTTGTTTTTTTTACTGTGCAGGCACAAAAATCCCTTTCTCATTCTCCCCCGCCCTCCCCCCACCCCTACTTATAGCGCATGTGCGCTAATTACAAAAAGGTGCCATCACTCACACCACCACCACCAGCAGCAGCAGCAGTAGCAGCAGCCGAGTCAGCCAGCCGGCTAGCCAACCAGCTGCCTACCTTCTGCCGCCCTGCTGAGTGAGGGCAAGCTGCAAGCCCCAGTTGCCACCGCCACTAACCGTCCTCGGCTGGCTGGCCTGCCTTGCCCTGCCTGCCTCCCCCCACCGCCGGCCTCCGAAGACGCAGATCAGTAAGTATGATCTTCCAACCCAGTCGTCTACCTTCCGCCTCCAGTCCCTGTTGCCCGCCCCCATCTTCCCTCGCCCGCGGCCCTCCATTGTTGCTGCCTTGCCTTCCCACCACTGATTGGTAGTGAGGAGGCAAAGCAGCAGCTCCTGCTGGCCCGGTCCCCTACCTCCTCTTGCCGCTGCCGCCACCAGCCAACTCCCAGGCCCGGCACTGCTGCCTCGCCCACATGGTGGCTGCCATCTTGGCTTGGCCTCCGGCGCCTGCCCGCCACCTTCCCTCGCCCACCACGGCCCAACAGTTGCTGCCTTGCCTTCCCACCACCAATTGGTAGTGAGGAGGCAAAGCAGCAAGTCCTGCCGGTCCAGTCCCCTACCTCCTCCTGCCGCCGCCACCAGCCAGGTCGACAGCCGACTCCTGGGCCGGCCATCCTCGCCACAGCAAGCTAGAAGACTGAGGAAGACCCCGTCTCCTTTTGGGTAAGTTGCTTTTTTATATTTATTTATTTCTTTACTATCTGTTTTTGTTTTTATTAATCATAAAAACAAAACAGATACTAAAGAAATAAATAAACACATAAATAAAAATTATTCTACTATTCATCTTGATGTTTCTTTAAGCAAAGAAGAAATATATATAAATACGTAAATAAAGAAAAGCAACTTACCAAAAGGGAGACAGGCAACTTCTTTTTACATTGATGTTGCTGTATACAATGTATAACATCAAGGTAGCAAAAAGTTGCCTGTCTCCCTTTTGGTAAGTTGCTTTTCTTTCTTTATGTATTTATATATATTTTTTTACTATCTGTTTTTGTTTTTATTAATCATAAAAACAAAACAGGTACTAAAGAAATAAATAAACACATAAATAAAAATTATTTTACTATTCATCTTGATGTTTCTTCTTTGCCAGGCCTTGGAAACAGGCAAAAAGCACTTGCTAAGCAATTGGCCACTAAATGAGCACCTGGTCATTAAGTGAGGACCACTTAAGTTTGGGTTGCCAGCCACATGGCCACCTGCCTGGGCCTTGCCAGGGCCTCCCCAGGCCTTGGAAACTGGCAAAAAGCACTTGCTAAGCAATTGGCCACTAAGCGAGCACCTGGTCATTAAGTGAGGACCACTTGACTTCCGGTTTGTCGGCTTCGCTAGCGGCAGGGATTCGCAATACTGCGCGATCCCTGCGGCGCTAGCCATTTTGGTGCCTCCGATCCGGACAGGTTTGGAGGCTAAGGCTGCCCTGCAGGGGCGGCTGAAGATAGGGGGGATCCGGAGAGGGGTTTGGGGGTGTTGCAGACCCCTTCCCTGGCCGGCAAAACCCCCTTTTCTCAAGACGGTGCAGCAGCGGTCCGTAATGGCCGCCACAAAGAAGCTGGCAGCTGGGTAAGAATGTGCAGGAGGAAGAGGAGAAAGTTTTTGAAGTGAAAGATTTTCTTGGTTGACCCAGGACTTTAAGATACATTTAACATCCTGAAAAATATGACTTTTTGAATGATACTTTCCAGAAGAGAATTATAAGCGGCAATTTTGAGGTGCTGAAAAGGAAAGTTTACTCTCCTTCCCTATGGAATCAACAAATTGATATTGAGAAACCTGTCTTTTTATAGAAGGTAAAAACTTGCTTTTTGTGATAAGTGGGAAGGGAGAGGAC